TCAGAAATCAGAAAGAAGGGTTTATTGCCAGGTAGGTTCACACGTACGAGGAATTTGACTAGGTGTCGTACATTCAAATAAAAAAGAAATCTAAAAAAGTACACAGATAGCGAACTATATTAAGAACACTGTAATAAAAATACAGTAAGATAGCAATAAAATAAAGCAGTAATTTACATCGAAATAGAATGCAATAAATTATAGAAACTTGAAAGGTGAGCAAATATAATTTGGAAGGAGGGAGCCTTACTTGAGCACTACTAGACATCATCTTTTCAGGTAGGGTTAGGTAAACGTTTTTGTTTGAGTTAAGTTTAAAGTTGACTTTTGTTTGAACAGAAGCTGAAGTAAGACGGGAGGGCTAGAACAGCTCTACAGGACCGTGTGGTGGATTGTCTGCTCAGCAAGGCTGAACGGTTTGGCGCTCTGTAGACTGAGGCACCCCATTTGGCTAATGAAGTCCCAGACTGTCTTTACACCACACCCCCACCCTGATCCACTATGAAATGTTCTACTCATGAAAGTAATGAGGCAGGGAGGGGGAAAGACTCTTCTGGCCACTGATAACCTCAGACTAAACTTGCAACCTTACGAGACAAGGGCCTAATATCTGGCCGTCAATCAGCCCCAGCATCCCTGGCTGGAGTGTTTAATTACAAGGATCAATTATTTACCAGCCTCCTCTTTCACTACTCAGTGCTCCCAAAAAGGAGTGTAAAGAAAAAAAAAAAAAAAGACACGACACAGACCCAGAAGAGGTTGTGGTGGCAAATTTGGTACAGATAAAAAAATATATATATATATTTCAGATAATACAGATTTGTGTTGAGGTGTTTGCACCATAAACGGCTAATGAGTCTGTCTGGACTGTTACCCTTTTTTGACTACAGACAGCTTAAATGTGTATTCAGATAAAACACAATGCCATTCTCAAGCATGTGTGACCTATACATTTAAAATCTAAATGTAAATAATACAAATACAAAACCAATCGTAGTTACAATTCAAAAATAAACACAGACATTTAAATAATATTAACTGTTTTATGTATAAAATGCATACGTTAATTTACAACGCCAACACAGCTAAAACCAGGAATTGAGGTCTGACAAGACACTGACTGACAAACTGTTTAAAATTATTTTGTAGAAAATAAAACTTAATACAACTTAATTTGTAAAGTGCCATTCTCACACTTATAAAGTACTACAAAATAAAGTACACAAAGACAACAGCTTATGGGTTACCGAACTACTATAACTCCATGCACTTCATATTTACTTCTAAAGCCATTCTTTGACTTCAGCTGCACGGCCCCAACAGCAACTGCAAGGCTTTTAACTAATTTGAAGAGACAAGATCCTATTACCTATTTGCTTGTACTTACAACAGCACTTCACCTGGCTGTTGCTGGGAATATAAGTTTGAATACACAAAGTATTTAGAAGATTAACATGTTGCTGCCCATGAACTGACTATCAGAAATAGAGTAAATAACCCACATATTTAAATTCCCTTTAATTGCTGCCTATTGTTTCACAATAGAGATGTTATAAATTGTATGTTAAGTTTCTAAATAGTCTTGCACAAAAGTACACGGTGCTCTGTGTACTGTACACTCACCTCAGCTGGCCCAAAGTTCAGCTGTAAAACTTCAAACTAATTTAAAGAGACAAGATCACATTAACCCTTTATATTCCCCTCTTTACAAGCTGGTACACTCAGTACCCACAGTACTCAGTTAGCACTCTGATAGGGGCCACATTTGAAGATATGCTGGATTAATTTGCATCAAACATTGATGCATTTTTCCTTGAACATCCTTAATCTATGCATTCCACACAAAAAAACACATTTAATGTACAAATGTGGACTGCTTTTCATGTCACACATCTGCACATTAGATTTGTTTTTGTTCCATCTTGCATCTAACAAAGAAAATAGGCAACATTGAGGAGAAGCAGCTGGTGGAGTGTTGTGTGGTCATCTATCCACGGAACAGAGTGCCTCTTCATGAGTCCGAATTACAGCCAGCCAAATAACCCAAATAACAGGGGAAGTGAAAATGCAGCACTAAACTCAGTCTGCTGTGGTTCACGGCCTTAACAAGCTACAACACCTGTGATTTGTGGTTTGCCTGTTTTGCTGTATTTCTGTGCTAGATTCCTATTGTCATCACAAGTCCCTGGTTTATGCTATTTAAGGTTTGCAAGCTCCACATCAGCGACCACCTGCTTTCTACATAAGCTGGCATTAATGTTTCTGTTACTTTCAGGATAACCTCAGACTCCAAAATTATAGTACTTTGGTAGAATAGATATAAATACATAGTGAACCAGAATTACATTTTATAGATCATTTCATCCTTAACATTTAACAATGGGTTAGAAGGAAACCTATATGACTGTTATCAGGATTAATGTAACATTTCAGCCAAATAATTATATGAATGCTGAATAGTTCAACAGGAATTATGAACAATTAAACTGTGTCATTCATTCAACATTAAGACTAACATATCTTCAAGCCTATGTCTGTAAGAAATAATACATCTCCTGCCAAAGTATCATCAAAATAAACAGTTAAACCAATAGTTTTTATTTGCTTTATCAGGCTGTTAATGTGTTGAAAGCCTCTGATATTGATCCAAAAAAGTAGATTTAACACTTTGGCCTCATTAATTCCACAAGGGGGAGTGTGCTGAGACTGAAATGTAAGAGTAGGCGGCTGGTTTCTCCTTCTACAGCAGCAGCAGGGTTTTTCCCCTGGACTCTCAGCTGATGGCTCATTAATCTGTTCTAGAGGAGGTCCCCTACGCAAGCAGCCTGCCCCAGTGGAGGACTACTCGTGCTTTGTTTAAAAATATATATTTTTTAATAAAGGTTTTTTTAAACATTATAATAAAGAAAAGCTAAACCTGAAATACATGTTGATATATATTAGTGTTGCCTCACAGCAGTAGCAATGTTTAAAGCCTCTCTTTAAACTCTATCATTATAAAATGGCTCACTGTAGTTCAAAAGGGTTGCAGGTTCTACCAGTTTCATGGAGCATCCGGCAGACAGAGATGTCATCAGGATACATCTTAAAGTTACATGAATATCTGTATTCATTTCCTTGGCAATCAACCAAAATGTTGTTGAGATATTGTCTGGACATAAGTGAAGGAGCAAGTGTCTGACATTATCATCCCCTGGGCCATGTAATCAAAATGTTATCCTGTTCCAGTTTACATTTCATACAGAAATATATCAAAATAATAAAGAAAGCTGTTTTATAGCCATTGCATGGGACATATAAATCCGTCAGTGGTGACCTATGTATTTAAGTGAATGTTTGCTTCCAGTAAAGACATATGGAACACTATCATTACAGATCCAATAAGCACAATGGTTATTTACAAATTAGCTACCTTACACATTGTGCATCCTTTGTGGGAGGCAGCAGGGCATTGAAAGGCTCCATTTACACAATTTGGTTGAACTACAGTATTTGCTGTGACACTCATCGTCACTCAAGTACTCCATTCCTACATACTCTGCTTCAGCTGAAAAGAGCAATTACAGTTTGGTGATTATTTTACAATAGCCATAGAGATTATAACTCACCCTACCCTCTGTGATTTTAGTGGGCATTTGTCTGATATCAGATTTTCCTCCTCACAGCAATTGATCTGCTAACGACACCATCACTCAGCCACCACACATTTTACTGCATAAAGACAGCTCTGACAGGGAGTCAAAATTCTGAATTTTGATTGCCTGACTGAGGCTGCCAGAGCATGTGGCTGTCTCTGCCGAGTTAGAACCAGGGAAACAGCATATTACATATGTGTCATCATTTTAATAAATAAATTAACAGACATCTGCAGTGAAGCAGCATTTAAAACATGACTTGTGAATGTAACCATCCAACATTTCCACAGAGCGTCACATTTAGTGAGGTCCACAGCATGTACTGTACAAAAAAACAAAATCTATCAAACTGTTTTTAATAGCATCTGATTGGCAAGCTGTCTTGGGACAGTTGGCAAATGGGCGTGCAGCGGAGGAGTTTAGAGGTGCTAAAGTTCAGGCAGGAGCGACGCAGCACCCTGTGTCCTGCCAACAGCCTACAGTGGCGCAAATCCTGACTAAGTTGTGACCCATGGCCCCCACCTGTCTTGACCATGCATTATATAGGGAGGCATCACTTCCCCTCCTATGCTGCCTACCACGCCAGAAGGCTTTTGACTCATGCCCATCTGTCCTGGTAGTACATACATTAGGTGAGAGCCAAGCTGTCAGCACCCTGTCCAATGCATGTGTGCCTTTATGACAACAGGTTGTATATAGATTGTGAACAGAATGTAATTATCTTGGTAATCAGAATTATTATCAAGAAATGGGTTGTTTTATAATTGTTATTTTCAGATTACAATGGGATACTACTGAGGTGTGAAGGTGCACACATTTGGAAACCTATATCCTTACACTCTGATTTCTTTATCCAATTAAGAAATAAAAGAATGCTAAATTTACTAAATTAACTAGACTCTAGTTGGTAATGGTGTTGTATGAAAATATATGGACGAGTGTCCTGACAGACATAAGAGGGACATACTCTAAGAAACACCTCACAGTAAGAGTTTGCATGCTATGCCATTACCACAGCAACCGAGTCAGACCAGAAAGCAATGCCTGAAAATACAAATACGACCTAATTACTTACTAATATCAGTGAGGGAAGTCTGTCCTCGAGATTCAGATATATATCAGATTTGCACAAAGGCTAAACATGTCCTATTTTTGAATGGGGGAATAAAACATTGGGCAAATATATTTTATAGGCAATAACGGTAAGAAAGAAGTATAAATAACATCATTGCTTTTGTGTGAATATTTTTACAAAGCACTCATTTAGTCTGAATGAATATTTGACTTGTTAGAAAGAACATCTTAACAAACAGTCATTTACTCTCTTTCAAAAAGCTGGCTCAAATAACAAGGAAGCAAACGTACCTGACCTGGCTGGATGTCTAAGTAATGAAGCACCTCTTTAACCATGACAGGCGTGTGAGGAGGCTTTTCAGATGAAACGGAAGACAGTTCTTCAGATCTGTCCAGGGGACCAGTACCAGAAGATGCACAAACTGTAGAAGAGTGCAGGCTTAACTTCCATGACCTCCATGCTCTCCACACATCCAGATTTGTTTTCCGTAACATTGGATTGGAGCGAACAGACAGGTGGAAAATCATGATCCTTATAATGATCTATGGAGATAACAAGAGTGAAGTTATGAGATGATGTAAGCAGAAACATTGTGTCTACCAGTAAAACCATAGCATGTAAGCCAATTAGGAGAAGGGTTGTAAAACTGTTTAATAGTAAAGTATTTTTAAAAAGTGAAATAAAGATTGCATTTGTGATAGTTATGGACTTCAATTGACTAGGTTTACATAGTTACTAAGCAATTATTTGGAATAGTTATCAAAATATCAGGCCTACATCATGCTGTGCAAACTGACAGATATCTTGTGCTGCAGGCTAACAGAGTAGCTTTGATATTTGCATACGTGATGGGAATTTTTAACTGACATTAGCAGCTGGTCTCCAACCTGGGGTGTCAAACCAAAACAAGAGGGCATCACAGTTTAAACATTTCATGCCGGTACAGATCATTCTGAAGGTTAAACTCTTCCACAGCACACAATTGTGGCTCAATACAACCGCAATAAGAGTGAGTACATCTTTGGCTAATTAGTTCAACATTTTGGAATTCCACATGAGCAATACTGCCTACAGTGAGCCAAATGGTTAAAACGTATTCAGGTGTTTCCTGGCAACAAGATGAATTGAAAATTAGAGCTAAGCTAGTGATGCATGCCTCCAATGAGGTAGACATTCATATCTGCATGGATTGAAGGAATTTAACAAGTTTGTGCATAGCATTGGTAAATGTAAAGAAAATGTTCAATTGCAGCAAACAATGACAGTATTTGAAGAGATGGCAATAACATATTGAGTGACAATGCTTGATTGCTTTCAGATTGTGAGCTAGATCTGCTGTACCAAACAGGAATTATTATTACATTCGCATATGTGCATCTAGACATAAATCAAATATATTAAATCTTTCAGTTTCAGGTAACCTATCCTTTACCAGAAGACCAGAGAACATATTGAATGGACTATTTTTGATCAGTGCCCTTACACCTGACATAATAGCACCTTTGATCAAGCTAAGGTTATTAATTATCACATGTACAACAATAAGGGGGAAGCAGTTGTTGACATTTCTATCCCATAATGCTTAATAAATGTTTGTTTTATGAAAGGAAATCACACAAGGAAATAAAAATGAAAATCTAAGAGATACAAGTGTGCAAGTAAAACATTAGGGTTACAACATAATAACAAATATAATATAGAATAAAGTTATATACATTTGTGGTATATAATATACAAGATGGCTACTTGAGATGGATAAATGCCCAAATTCACGCACTGGTAGTTGTTAGCTCCCAACAGCGTGATTTCATTGGAACTAAAACGTGTAATCGGAATTATTGTTGCTATTTTTTGTAACACACATAACAGTTCTGTTGTGAAGCAGGTAAGCCCCATATTTTGGACAAAAAACACATGACTCAACATGGAGAAAATGTGCCACAGTTGTCATGCACACACTGACCTTCACAACAGTTAACTCATGTATGCGTTTGGCGTGACATTGGTCAATGCAAATGTAATAAGTAGTGAAATACAACGTTTAAACGTCATGCATTGCTGCTTTATCACATGTGTGTAGTGGCTGTAACGTCATTAGATCAGCATTAGCTAAGCATTTTACCCTTGACGATGGAGCAATATTGTTGCTATGCTACCATGTTGACGCATTTAGCCACACGCACTTTCGCACGAATTTACAAATAGGGACACAACATGACATGGATCATCCACATGTAAAAAATGTTCAAGTAGGGTGAACTGTGACGAAGAAACATGTCTACACCTCTGGAAGTGAACAGTAGCTTACCGTAGTACACCAGAGAGTAGCTCCGCCTCCAGAAGCAGCATGTCCGGTGCGTCATCCAATGCCCAGCGTCTCACATCCAATCAGCGTTTAGAGAGGAAGAGGGCTTGTTTTTGAAAATATTGGCGCTTGCGCTAGCTATGACCGGATATTTTGCTATGTCTAAGCTTTCCTAGCAAGTTAATCTTTCCCAAAACGACATACGTGTGTCTTCTCTGAAAACGTAACTGTAGTCAAATGCAATGAAAGATAACCGTTGCTGACAAAAGGTAAGACATAACTGCACTCGACATAAAGAACAACAATTCTAACTGACCGTTGGAAGTTGTGTAGGAGCTAGCTCAGTTAGCTAGCAGGCTTTAGCCGACCCCCTGCACACTTATCGTTGGCAGGTTGGCTTTTAATCGTTCACTATTGTGATGTGTGAATTCAAATACGTATGTTAACATTTTAAACAGCACTCAACTAACAGTACAATCTCTATCGTATGTTGTATTTGAATGAGAATTGAGAGTAGTTACTGGTCATTAACTGCCTGGTTAAAAGCATAACGTTAGTATGACGTTATTAACCAACAAGTCATATAGACATTCACTAAAACATGCTTTAGGTTTTTATTTGGAATGAATTGTCTTGTACTGGTATTTTAATGTTGATGTGTGCTTGTAGATGTGTGTGTTACATTGTTAACTATAGATAGATAGATAGATACTTTATTCATCCCAAATTGCGAAATGTTGTTACAGCAGCAATGTGTTCAGGCATTTAAATATAAAACAATAAAAAAACAGCAATTATATACATATCTACAGTAGACAAGACATATGTCCAAAAGAGAAATGTTTTCCTGTATTACTCCTGATAAAATTGTATGTCCGTTTAAAATTATACAGCACAACAAACAAGAGCCTCAGAAATGGCCATCATTTCGAATAAAGACACAATCTAAATCTCTTCAACAAAACTAAACATAATAAGATGTCGTTGATTTAAAAGGCATCTCTTAGCCCTCATTCATGACATCCGTTGTTTGGCTACAGTTATGTTATGTTGCCCTTTACTGACATGACATTGAAACAAGTTTGGGCCAAAAGCGAAATCTTGGACTCCACTATGGTTAGCAAGCATATCAATAATGATTTGCTATCAAGAATTAGGTAAGACCAAACACTTAAGGGATGTTGAAAAACGTGTTGTTGTTGTTTTTAAGTCAGTCAAGTCAATTTTAATAATAAAATCACACATTCACAGGGCTTTATTGTACAAGAAACAACTCCTTTACTGTCATCAGACCCTTGAAACCATCTCCTGCTGTCTTCTATCCAGTTCCCCCTGTTTTTTATCTCAATGTATGATTTACTGAGTATAATTTTTATTTAAAAAAAACTGCAACAGTGTTGAAATGTGTGATTTTGGAAATGTAACCCTTTGTTTTTGTTTTGCAGCATCACATTTATGTAAAGGAACCACAATGGCAAGTGACGTATGCAGCCATGTGAGGGTGGTAGTTCGGGTGAGGCCAACCACCGAGAGGGAGAAGACTGAAAACTGTCGAAGTGTGGTCCAAGTGGTTGATAACCACATGCTCATATTTGACCCCAAGGAAGAGGACGCATCATGTTTTGGGTCACAAAGAGTCAGAAACAAAAATATCAACAAGAGGGCAAACAAAGATCTTAAGTTTGTTTTTGACCAAGTCTTCGGCGAGGAATCAACCCAGGGTGACCTCTTCGAGGGGACCACTAAAGCCGTTTTGGATGGTGTGATGAATGGATTTAACTGCACAGGTAATACAACAATAATAATATGTTTTGTGTTATAGCTTTACCTGGTTGCCAAACATATCCCCAATCTGTAAAGAAACAACTGAACAGCCATTTTTCCAAAATCATATAACATGATATACTGAACTATTGGAATCCCACTGAGTGTGAGCTATATCATCCCAAGCAGCTAATCTGCTGGAGTTAACATTTTGGCCTTTTGACCGCCTCTCTTCAAATCCAGCATCACCAAATAGTGAAGTTCAAATGCAGCTATGAGCCACAGCAGTAACACATTTTGTATTTAATAATTTCTTATCAACATGGCTTTCTGGCTCACACTGTTGATTATTATTTGGAACTGTTGACTGCTGTTCATTCACTTCACAACGCTGTGTTTTAAATCAGCACAAATGGGACATTTTGACTCCTTAGTGTACTGATGTAAACAGAATCCAACACTGTTTGGGCTTCAGAAAGCCATCATTGATCCATGGAAAGATGCTCGGATCAGCTGAAAATCTTGATCTTGTGGAACAATGTCCAACTAGTTTACAGTTTATTATGTACACCTAGCTTCACCAAATGCAGTTTGATTCTAAAGCCTTGCAATACAGCCTATCTTCATGATGTTTTTATTGTTCAGCTTTTGTTAAAGCTGTTTTAGAGAGGGTTTGTTTCAGCTTTAGTGTCATTCTTAGGATGGAGTTTGTAGTGCTGTTGAAATAACGAGATGTTTCTATTATTTAGCATAGCCTCATTGATATAAATAGGGCGAACAAATAAAATAAAGACCTATCTGTTTACCTATGTCAACATTAACTTTTAAATTAGATTTGGTTCAGGGGGGTGACTGAGTTTAAAGCATGTCATTCATGTTGCGTTGTGGGTATTGCATACTATAGGCCTAATCTCAAATATAGGCTGATTAGAACATCTTCATTCTTTATCAGTTATATAATTCCCTTAGCAAAGCTTTTCATAATGAGCGCAGTTTTTTCTTGGCTTCACAATGAAATATAATATGTATTGTGCTTCAATTTTTCACATTACATAACATTAGGTTGTGGTTATGCTCTATCCAAAGTAAGTTTGTTGTTATTGTTTTCTGGATAAGCATTGTAACCAGAGTTCCCGTTAGAATAATTATTTGCCGGTCAACATGTCCGTTACAGTTTAAATCTTCCGGACAAAATTAGAAAAGTGCTGGTCAAAGGTCTTCTATGTTATTTATTGAGCTTTAAAACAAATTGATATGATTCGATATTAAACAAACTAATTATAGTAGATTAATTAACTATTCAAACGTGTACAGTAATTTACAATAACACGGGAATAATAAATGGAGGGCTCTCCCCCTCTCCTGACAACACGCCAGTATCATGCAGCTCGCGGATCCAGTAATGAGTGACCCGACAGTAAAACTAAACATCTATAACTAGTTTAGGTAGTTTGAGAGGTAATTAAAATAGCTATGTGTGATATTCTAACCTGAAGTGTGTGTTTTGTTCCGCTCATCGCTGCAGGTGATCATGCAGAGATGCGTGTCGACTCGTCAGCAGCAGCTGATCTCTCCTGTCAGATTAGACTTTACTCGCGTTTATCTCCATATCGATCAGATCTAGCTAGATCTAGCTAATGATATGACTACCTGCTTATTAAAAGACACCTAAACAATAAGCGTCGCTATGCAACCGGGTGAGGCCACAAAGTATAGCGCAGCATTATGCATTTGTTTACATGCCCACCGGAACCCCGAGGCATTACCAACAGATCAACGCACAATCAACCCATACAGGACATCTCTATCTCCACATTAAGTGTAGACATTATAATTGACTATTCTTGTCTGTCACATACTCTTTTGTCTGTCACATACTATTCTTGTCTGTCACATAAGTGGCGCAACTGATGCGGTATTGCGCTAAGGGGTAATAATAATTGACCGGACATTTTGACCGGAGAGATTTAGATTTGCCGGTCTTCAGCATATTTTACCGGTCATAGTCCGGTAATTACCGGCTAACAGGAACTCTGATTGTAACTCTATAAGCATGTTTTACTTACATGGAACCTTGTCTTTCACTTGCAGTGTTTGCATATGGTGCTACTGGAGCAGGCAAGACACATACTATGTTAGGCACCCAGAATGACCCCGGGGTCATGTACCGCACGATGACGGAGCTGTTCAAACGCATGGAGGATGCCAAGGAGGAGAAAGAGTTTACTGTTGCATTCTCATATTTTGAGGTGATTATTTGAATCTTCTTATTATTATTTTTCTGGTAAATACATTTTTAGACTTGAACTCTTATCCCTAATAGAGCCTTAACCCAATCAAGCATTTTGTTTCGACTGAGCTCCTGGGATGAGTTTGATGGATTTTCAGTTATATTGTTTGTTTACAGGTTTACAATGAACAGATCAGAGACTTATTGGCGAATATTGGGCCTCTTGCAGTCAGAGAGGACAGCTCTAAAGGAGTGGTTGTTCAAGGCCTCACGCTACATAAGGTTAGTAGCAGTATGTATTATACACACTCCCAATTAGCAGGGGAAGAATTATAACATCTGCTAATAAATAAAGATATACCTTTTTTTAAATAAAAATATATTGCTCTATAAAATGTGGCTATGCAAACTAACTATTTCATGTTTATATTCACTGTTCAGTGGCTGTGGTTTGCAAGAGCTGAATGGCCCTTTTTCTGGTTCACACACCATCCCTGATATTACCTTTTTGTGTATATTTATATACAGCCCAAATCTGCAGCACACATTCTTGAAGCTTTGGATTCTGGCAATCGCAACAGGACACAGCACCCTACTGACATGAATGCCAACTCTTCACGCTCCCATGCTGTATTTCAGGTATTTCAATCCATTGTTATTAAAGAGGAGAACTTATGCACACCTGTAGATAGACGGCTGCGTAGGAGAAGACCATTTGTCAACAATACATAACAAAAGGCTCCCTCACACTGTCTTCTTAGTAACAGTCTTTGGGTACACATACCTTCATCTGTGTTGTCATAAAATATGTCTCTGATTGCAAGAGAATTACACTATAGGGGAATCTTCTGTTCTGTAAAAACCTGTGGTTATCGTACCATGAACTGTCATGGGTTACAACATTAGTACATTCCAGTTTTATTTAAATACAAAGGCAGATTCATGAACATAAAAGACAATTATTAACAAAAGATCAAACATAAATACAAAACTTTAACTGCAACCCCTCCAATTTCAAGAGGGCAGTTAATATATTCAGTCTATAAGATCATAAGTATTTAAAGTCTCTTGTTTCACTGCAAACATCTACAACGCATCGCTGTTTACTTGTTGATAGTCTTGAATTGACAGTTCTTTGTTCTTTTCTTCAGATATATTTGAGGCAGCAGGACAAAACGGCCAGCCTCAATCCTAATGCCTGCGTTGCAAAATTGAGCCTGATTGATCTGGCAGGCTCAGAAAGAGCCAGCGCCACCAACGCTAAAGCGGCACGTTTGCGGGAAGGGGCTAACATCAATAAGTCACTCCTCGCCCTAGGGAATGTCATCAATGCCCTCGCTGACCCAAAGGTGAGTTCATATTATCCTACATTTAATGCTGATAACATAAAAAGTGTTGCAAAAATGTGTCAAATATGTCAGCAACCCACTTCTTTGCTCATGTTTGCATCCCATGTGTGTAAGGCAGTGTTTTGTTGTCAAGCCAAGACAGACGAAGGCCTAAGCCATCCTTATTGAGCTATATTTCAGTGCTTTCGGAAATCTATGGGTGACGTCACAGAGACTGCTTCTATAGTTTAAACAGCCTCTGGTCTGGACAGACATGAATGAAAACTGCAACTTCACTCGTTGGCGAAGGTATAAAACCGCAAGGGGGTAATTCATTGAAAAGGCACAATCATGCAAAATAAGGTAAATAAATTAGAGAAAATCACTTTATTACCATTCTCAATGTTTCGATTGTTTTTTAAATCCATATGATTTTCGCATTGGGTCTGATGAATGCTCTGGTGTTATAATAGCCAAGGGACGTGCGTATTTTGCAAACACTGCTTATATTTTCCAAGGTCATTATGCCATAGTACCAGGTTGCCCACTCGATCCTAGACATTCTTGATTGTTTTGTGGCCCTGAAAACCAACATTGTGGACGTTTTGTCTATTAAGTACGGTGGCCCTGAAGTGCAAGTCAAAACAGCATTTCAGAAAACGCTACAGCATTTCACAAAATACCACAGCATTTCACAAAACACCACAGCATTTCACAAAACACCACAGCATTTCACAAAACACCACAGCATTTCACAAAACACCACAGCATTTCACAAAACACCACAGCATTTCACAAAACACCACAGCATTTCACAAAACACTACAGCATTTCACAAAACACCACAGCATTTCACAAAACACCACAGCATTTCACAAAACACTACAGCATTTCACAAAACACCACAGCATTTCACAAAACACCACAGCATTTCACAAACACCACAGCATTTCACAAACACCACAGCATTTCACAAAACACCACAGCATTTCACAAACACCACAGCATTTCACAAAACACCACAGCATTTCACAAAACACTACAGCATTTCACAAAACACCACAGCATTTCACAAAACACCACAGCATTTCACAAAACACCACAGCATTTCACAAAACACCACAGCATTTCACAAAACACCACAGCATTTCACAAAACACCACAGCATTTCACTAAACACCACAGCATTTCACTAAACACCACAGCATTTCACAAAACACCACAGCATTTCACAAAACACCACAGCATTTCACAAAACACAACAGCATTTCACAAAACACTACAGCATTTCACAAAACACCACAGCATTTCACTAAACACCACAGCATTTCACAAAACACCACAGCATTTCACAAAACACAACAGCATTTCACAAAACACAACAGCATTTCAACTTTTACAGAAAGGGTATTCCTTTAGGGAGAACACTTCTTGTTTGTGATTGGACAGAGCCAGCCAGAGAAGCACTGCTGTGATTGGTTGTTTTTGCTGCCAGTCAAGAAATTACGCTTCGTGATTAGTCAGCACCCGACAGCGCAACATGTCCCCAAACATCAGCCGTTAGCTGTTAGCACACAGAGCTCACAGCTCCTCATATCTGTTCAGAAACTGGACAAAAGTTAAACATGAACAAACCACAGACTGTCTATGTCGTGGCGAATACAGTCGCTGCTTTATTTCTGTCTGTATGACGTTGTTGTGAGTTTGGACGGAGCAGCTACAGGTTAGTTTATCCTGATCGATCCGATCTCCATTCAGAAAACACGCATTTTAAAAGGTTTTTCGCCTGCCGTCTTGTCTGCACACTTGTCAAAGCATTAATTCATGTTTTTTTACTAGCCGGTATCAGTATGTAGTTACTTCGGCATCATTTTGAAATGCGTATTACAATTAAATCACTGTAAAATATGTCATATGATGGGAGCAGTCTGCTAGATGCCTCAGTGACAGCTGGAAGTTAAGATAAGCGGTCTGTTCACAAATGAGACAGCCGCACCAAGGCAGCATCTGCAAGACTATAGGGACTGAACCAAATGTTTGGTTATCTATGTAACAAGTTAAATGCTAGTTGTGATTAACAAAAAAATAATATTTTGAAACATTTAAAGGTGGGGTAGGTAAGTTTGAGAAACCGGCTCGAGATACACTTTTTGTTATATTCCATGGAATGCTCTTAACATCCCGATAGCAATGAATATCTTAAGTGCTTTGACAAAAAATCCATAAAAAAATTTCATCTGTGGAAGCTGTAGTACTAGGGTTGCAACATGGTTGGCATTCGGGCAAACCTAAGGCTCTTTGAGCCTGGCACAGAGCCATCCTCAACAAGGCTGGACAGTGACACTGAAGAGGAAGAGTTGGATGTTGATGAGGCCCAGGAAGAGCCCATTGACTGAAAGGGTAAAAAATGCAGAGGATTGCTTGAAGGAAGATTTGCATGTTTAATGGGACTTTTTGGAGGGAGAAGGGCTCTTTTCATTTAACATTTTGAATGGGACTTTGTGGGGATTTTTGGATGGGGGGTGCATTTTTGTTCATTTTTTAATGAGTGGGGTTGGGGGGGTGAGTAATATTTAACTCAACATTCCTGTTTTTGTTCTTCAATGAAACAAATAATTATTCAATAAAATAATTAAAACTTGTTCTGTTCTACTTAAAAAAATCTGTTGAAATGTCATGTTTTTTGTTTAATTTTGCATCGAATATTTCCAAATTTCCCCAGCTTAACTTCCCATGGAAACTTTCCGGAAATGTTCCGCCCCTTTGCAACCCTACGTAGTACTGTAAAAAGCACGACCAATCATTTCAGCCGGCCCGGCTAAAATAACTGGATGGCCTACCTGCCTGTCAGCCTTCCATCTGTGCACAAACTTATCTCGTGCCCTCATTGGTCATGTGCGCGTTCGTGCGTGTTGGAGGAGGGGCTCTGTAAGGAAGTGGCAGATTTCTTCCGGCTGTGTATTTTCAAATTCTAGCGCACTCGAGCTGGTTTCTCCAAAATTACCTACCCCACCTTTAATATATTGCTTTTAAGGTACAAATCAAGCAATTATAATATTTTTAAAGCAGCCATACTTCAAAAGAAAATGCCATAAACGGGCATAGTGTTTTTCAAATGGTTATGGTTATAGGTATATGAAGTTATGCACTAGCTTGTATGTAAAACGGAGAACCTGGGACGTGTAGAGTGAACTGAGTATTTGGGTATAATTGCATTCCAGTTGCATACATTAACCTGTCAAGCAGTCTTCTCATTTTACACACCAGTCTCAAGGGACGAGGCGCAAGCAGGCCACATGCATTTAGTGCTGTGCACATGTACCGGGGCCATGCTGAAATGTGATCCTTCTTCAACAGGTTACTTAACTCTTGTGTTAAAACTGTGTCCATCTTATATTATACTCTACCCACCTTTCCAAAGTGTTCCAGTTGTGAACTCGTAGTTTCATCTGCTTAACTTACTACATATCCAAACCCAATCCCCATGGTTATTGGCCTTGCAGTGTTTACTTTTGGCAGGCAAGGAATTCACGTTGTGGATATTGTTTATAGGAAAGAATGTCCCCACTTGTGTCTGGGCTGACATGCCGTTTGTTTGAGTGAAGAGAAATCTCATCTTCATGCTATGCTGCTTCGTGTTTTTTGTTGCAATTGTTTGCCGTATGCTATGTCCAAACCAATGCAGAGACATTTTTCTGAAAGTGTTGTCCAAAGGGAAATAAAAATGCTCAATGGTGCAGATAGTGAAAATGTTGCTTTTTTTTTAAAATACGGATTTGTGGTTTTCAACTTAAAAAAACAAACACGGTTCCTAATGGAAAAAAAGCCCCCCTCACTTATGATCTATGTTCAAATGATTATGTTAATTGTATGCTTGTGCAGTGATAACAGCGATAACTAAAACCTTTTACATTCTTCATATTGTGTGGTTTTCTATGATTAAAGAAATGTACTTGACCATGGAGAGTAGTCGGTAAAAAAAACGGAATGCGTCATTGACAGACAACCAGACAAAGCCCATTAAAGCATCATGGAATTAAGGTTCTTATCAAGCACTTGTTTTTCATAGCTGCTTTAAAACATCCCCTTCACATTACTGAAGGTCCTTCCATTCATTTGACATTGAACCTGTAACAGATTTCCCATCACAGACCAATCTATTGGAGTCAAAACATATATTTCAGTTTACTTTTAGATACAGACATTGCTAAAAGAATACATTTGAGAGCAGTTTTTCCAAATTTGCATTGCTATCCTGAATCTTCCTGGACCTGACATGAACTATAACTAAGGTCTTTGGATCCAGATGGGTGTTTAGGGTGTTTCCAGGGACTAGTGCAGGCACAGCTGCTAACCCCAAAAGAGATCCTTTTACACTCATTTGTTACTTAACTTTAATGTGACTTTCTGCAATCCCTATGCCCTTGAGATTGTGACTCACCTAAGCAGCTGTAGTCTATCTGACGCCATTATAGCAGACTGAGCTGTGTTCCCAGACCAGCTGCAGGGGGACTTCAGACCACTGTGGTCCATGGCTGTTCCCTGTTTTGACTAAAATGAACACTTCATACTGAATTTAGTTTCCTGTTAAGTTTATTGGTCCCCACCAAATAGTGTAATATGACTAAGCTTTTCTTGTGCGGCTTGTCCAGATGGAGAATGCATATTAAGGGGCACCTTGTGTTTTTCTTCATATCACAATGCACCTAACACTCCTAAATGTTGCTCTTTTGGTCATGTCTGACAGAAGTATTGAATATCCATATTCAGTATTTTCTTTTGATTTGATTCTAAATGAACTCAATGTTCACTTTATAAAGCATAAAATCCAATATAGTCTAGTTTCTTGGACTGATGTTATATTTTCTCATTTGTTTTTAGAATAAGAAGACTCATATACCGTACAGGGACAGCAAGCTGACGCGGCTACTTAAAGACTCCCTGGGGGGAAACTGCAGGACGGTTATGATTGCCAATGTTAGCCCCTCATCCAAGTCCTACGATGACACCCACAACACACTTAAGTACGCCAACAGGGCCAAGGAGATTAAATCATCGGTAAGTATCTAAGCATTATATTATATAAATGAAATAATTATTTGACTATAGATGTATATTTTTAATCCTTACATGTTTTTCTCTACCTTTATCAGCTGAAGAGTAATGTTGTAAGCTTGGACAGTCACATTGGCCAGTATGCAGTGATATGTGAGAAGCAACGGCAAGAGGTAATATGACACAACCAACACTACCATACTTCATGATAAAAAAAAATCCAGCAAATCTTTATTTTCTGATATTTAAAATGTCTCTTTCAAACAGTTGCCATTATCCAATGCTCATTTCTTAGTGCTATCTCAATTTTATTTTTGCATTTCTGAAGATTGTGCAGTTGAAGAAGAAACTCAAAGACTATGAGGAGAAGAACATGGTGCCTGGGGCTTCTACCACCATCTCTTCCCAGAAACAAGCAGAGTTTAAAAGGTAAGCATGTACAAAGTAGGATTCGGGGAGTAATCTGAGACATAGAAAAATAAGTTGTGTCTTTATCTGTTATAAACTCTTTTATTAGGAGTCTCTATTATTTATTTGAACTTTGTAAATGGAATGCAAACACTGAATACATGCAGGAAGAGCACAAAGCCTTTTGTTACATTCATAGGACCTGGAATTAAACTTTTCAACATTATGATGACAAAATTACTTGCGATGAATAATACCAAATACTAAAGTCTGCATTTTAGCTTTCCATTTCATGTAATTGTTGTTGTATTGTGACCTTTTGGTCCACTATTTGTTCATGTTTGTAGCATACTAGGCAGAGTAGCCTTTAGTTGGGAGATGTATGAGCTCCTCTCCCTGCCCACGTTCTCCAACACTTCCTGGGTGTTCCCAATGCATCAGAGGCCAAATGGGATATATGATCCCTCCGGCGTGCTCCCGGTCTGCCTCAGGGTCTCCTCCCAGCTGCATGTGTCTGAAATACCTCCGCAAGAAGGCCTCCATAGAGTATCTTAATCAGAAACCCCAACTACCTAGAATGGCTTTTTTCAATAAGAAGCAGCAGTTTTAAAGCTGGATTGTTGAAACCCTCAACCTTTCATTTCAAACCTTTATTTATGCAGGTGAATCCCATTGAGATCAATTGATCTCTTTTTCAAGGGTGACCTGCTGGACCTATTTACAAAGGACCCAGGTACCACATTAAGAAAACTTATTTTGGCCCTGTGTATCCCTGAACCTCCTAGTCTCATGCTTCACATTCACCTCACTTGTAAATTATTTTTGACCGCCGTCGCTTGCTGCAACAACTCGGTCCCAACCAAAAGGACAATTCTATCGTTTTCTAGCAGAGTATAGTGGCTTTAGACCACTCACTACTGGTGAAGCATTGGTGATGCAATCCTCAGGTCCCCTAACTGGATGCTGTCTGCTCCTAGGTTGCACCTAAAATATATTTGTCTATAAAAAAAAAAACATGATGGCAACCTCTTAATGTTTGCATAATCTCTTGATGGCTCGGAAGAGAATTGTACAGAGCTGTTGTGGATGGATATTATTTGGTAGTTTTTGGATAGCCTGTCTTCACCCTTTTCATCAAGAAAATCCAAAAGTTAAATTGTAATATTCAACCAGGAGCAGCACTTTCAAGGTGTGATGCACCACCAAGACGATGCTACAATAGAAGCAAACTACTTTTTTTTCTACCAAAAGCAGTTCTACGTGCTTTGATCAGTTAGTCAGTAAGTATCATGGTGGATCTCATTAATTGAAAAAGGTGAACTGCTGTTTATTTATTTGTTTGTGGTGCCATGCCCACACACTCGCAACACAATGCGTTGGTGGGGTTTTTGACAGCTGACCTACCCAGAGTGTACAAAAAAACAAAGAATAATTGTAATAACTGCACAGTTGATGATTCTTGGTACCTGTCCCTCACAAATAAACAAATACATTATTCACTAAATGAATCATAAGCATCCAATGACACTTCTGCTAATCTGCTGATAAAAGTCTTGTACTGTTCTGTACCCTGTTCATATCAGCTCACAGCATGCCTTATTGACCTGAGATAACTCTTATGAAATGTTATCCCACGAAATGTGCACCTCCTGGAAAACGGTTACTTCCTGGAAAGCAGTACATCTACATGAGAGTCTAATTCCCCCTGTAACATACTCTTTTAAAATGTACTAACATTATTTATGGAGAGACCTTCAGAGAGAACATTATTTGCCATACCTAGTATGTTTTAGTCTAATTAACAGCAATATTTTACAAGCACTTAATTAACAATTTGAGCTCTGCAGCTTATTTTTAGACTAGAAGCAGTTTTTCCACATCCACTTCTGACCTGCACTGTAGTCACTGTAGACTTGAATAGAGCAGCCAGATACTAAAATATTGATTAACAGGGTCTGTAATTAATTAAGCTTTTGGGGGGAGGGGCTTAATTAGTGTAGTTCCTAATTTTAGACCTTTTTTTTATAAATTCCTGCTATGTCCTTGCTTACTTGTTATCTGTTTATTAAATTAACACAATGACAGATAATGTTTTTTTTTTCAATCTAGCTGGTCACTTGTTAAACTAGTGCGGGACTGTTTGACCTCTTGGATTACAAATCAAGTGCTTTGAGACCCTAGGATCAGGTTTGAAAAATACTGTCATTAACGGTTTTTTGTTTGGGATAAAAAATGCAACTCTAATAAATCTGCCACACATATAGAGTAGGTAGCTCTGTGTATACCGGTGTGTGATACTAGTGCTTTGACTACTATAATCAACATTAGCTTAACTATCTTAGTTAAGGTTTCATTTGATAGGGACATCTGTGCAGCGCCTTTTTTATTCTAATGATGTATACACATCAACTTCTTTACCATAAATCAGATTAACTACCTCCCATTTAGTCATCTTTAAGATATACAGTAGCATCTGTGGGGGTATTTGAGTTGGGGGCGGGGGACAAGAAAAAGCTGAATGAGTCTCACTCCCACACATTTCATTCACTGGCATCATAATTCACAACTCGCACAGTGAGAGGCTCTGAATAGAGGCTGCACGCTTCTCACGCTATTAAAAATTCAGCAGTCTAGCAAGGCCACGACGTCTCCTACGTCACTGGAGTTACATTGAAGAGTGCAGTCACATTTCAGCGACAGCTCTCCAGTCTTATTTACCTGCGTGCCTCTCCTGTCTCTCCTTTTGCTTTAACTCAAGCAGACAGCCACTTGCATCCAATCTCAATATCACCTCCACCGTGTTCCAGAAATACACCTATACATCATATAGCTAAGAATATTTCTCCAGCTCAGAGCTGGTATCTTTAAAGAAGCTTTAAGAAACCACAAATAGCATATTCTAATACTTGACTCAAACCTTCAAGCAATTCATTGGCGAGAATAACGATAATAGTCTTGCAAACATTTGATCTAAATAATACGTTTGGTTTTACCTGATCATTAAAAGGGTCGTAATATATTTTACAATCACATTAAAACCAATATAAATTGCTTTATTTATATTGGTTTTAATGTGATTGTAAAATATATTACGACCCTTTTAGTTTGTGTTATATACACATACAAAATGGTTTGGAAGAGGTCATTGTACAAAGAGTACGATGGATTTGTATTTTACTGATGTTGATGTATCTCATTGTACTGAGAGGTGTCACTTAAATACTGTCCTAAAGAACGGGGATCCGAATGAACAGCTTTTTACTTTCCATGTGATCACTAAAGATACTCATGTGTACCCAATTATCTTATTTAGTGGGCCAATTCATCAATATATACCATATCAATTAAAAACATATATACTTGTTATACTAAGTTATTCATGTTATTCTTAGTTTACATTTCTTACATTTGAATGCAAGATTGAAGTTGAATTGCAAAAAAGAGGGCAGCATTAATGTCTTCTTTAAATGTATGATATACAACTCATTTTACACGCTTTCTGTAATGCTTGACATTCACTTTTGTTAAATTCAGATTTTCAAATGCAGCCTTTTTGATAGGAAAGATTCTCACATGTGAACATCACTCTTCCCTCTCTCTAGGGTGTCAGAAGCTCTGCAGCAAATCTTCTCGGGCCGAGCCCAAATCAGAAAAGAGCAGCTGGATCTGGAGAGACGACTGAAGGAGAACGAGCTGCGCCAGCGGTACAGTGAGGAGGACAACCTGCAGGTCCAATGCTTCTGTGCCAAAGAAAAGACTGAGAAGGTAGCTGATGCTTACGTTGCTATCCACACATCCCATCATCCCCGCAGACAAACAGCTGCTGAGTCATCACTTCACGTCTCTGTTCTCTATGGTTGTCTTGGCCCCTCATTTACGCCACTACAGGAGGAACTATGCTCCCCAGCACCTGGCTCCTCTCTGCCAGTGTTAGTCCCAGCTGTAAATTACACTTAAAGTATAATTAGCACAAAAAAAATGTCTAAGACCAAACTTTATACAATGGTTCAATGTCATCCAAAACGAATTAAAGTGTGAGAACAAATGACCTGATAGTGGTTTTAAATCACCTGCTTTTGAAAACTTCTATATTATAAGAAGAAATAATTCGTTTCAGATGAACTTCTTCAACAATTGACAACACATGGAGTATTTCAATTATTGTTAAGAAATACTTTGACCACAAACATAGTTAAATATGTCTCACATTAATCCTAGCAATGCACAATTCAAACTTAAATGTGTTGTTGTTGCTTTGATTAGGCCACTTGCAAGCATGAGCGGAAGATTGCCAGCTTACACACTCAGCAGCAACACATTCTGAAGCGTCTGAAGGAGGCAGAGGTGCGTTTCCTGGACAATGACGGCTGGCTACATCGAGTTGAGAATGAGATCAAGCTGCTGAAGTCCACTGATCAGACCTCGGAGGTTAGTAGAACCAAGTGATATTTGTGCATTAACTAGTTCTGAAAAGGGGGAGTTATTGACTTCCAAATGTGTGTTTTTGTTGTGACTTTGATAAGTACCCAGACTTAACACTTGCTTCACAGATGTTCTATGTAATCATTTATATTTCACTTTTATAAAAAATAAATAGAAATGCTTCATGGTTTAGTATCAGCTTTATTTGTTTGATCATAACAATTGTGTAACCACAGTGCTTGTAGCCATGTTTATACAAATTCCAACAACCTTGGCATTGGTGATGGAGTACATTAATTCTTGTATGTTTTTGGACAATAGATCAGTGGAGGCGAGTCGTGAGTTAAACTAGTTACAACATTCCATATCTTGTGGACAGGATGAGATAGTTAGAGTTCATCTAAGAAGACAAATAAGCATGATTAGATACAAAGAATAACTTCACAATGTGGGTTACATCCTTCAAAACTCATCACTTGGTGTTTTTTGTTTGTTTATTTTGGAAGGTAGGCTGTGTCTCTACTGGTGTCGTGACTGTCTTTGTTTTCTTCCCATCTGTTCTCCCAGTAATTAGAACCGTGCTCATTTTATTTCTCCGGCTCACTCGTGGATCGCTGAAGAGAATAAATCAATACCCTTTACTCATCCCTCACACTGCAGCCAGTTACCTTAAACCATGCCCATGTTATGTTTTTCTTCTTTATCCTTTCTTCCAGGAACTGACCCAGAACTGTGACGCACCCACCGGTCAAATGTTCTCTCTGCTGTTGTTTCGTAGTTTCTTTACGTCAGAGTTCTTTCTCTTTTTTTCTCCCCTTCCTTACCCGGCAGACAGATTTTCTGATGAAACGTGGATGAAAACAGAACTTTGCATCTTCTTTTCCTTTTTGTTTCTTTTAATTCTGCGTTCAAGAGTTTCAATTCAATATGTTGTTTTGTTAGAATGGCTATTCCCTCATCATTTCTGCTCTCTGAACTCACTTCTCCCCTTTGGTCAGGTGTTAGATAAGAGCCTACACGGCCACCGACTGGAGCTGCAGGTTAATGATCTCAAACAACACATCACTCAGATGGTGGAGCTCACTGCACTGCAGGATCAGGAGAACAAGCGAATGCAAAAGTATGTTGACAATACCTAGAAACAATTATTAAAGAACTGTTAATCAGTCTGGCTGAAGAAATTGCACCTTACATTGCTGCAACTTCTATTTTTTTCATCTGTTAAATCATATTTTTCCATTGCTTTTTAGAATGGTCAACATCTTGTTGCCGGCTTATTCTCGGCACTACTCTACGCTGCGTGCGGCTGGGCTGGTCACAGCCACAGATGAGATGGAGAACCATGAACTAGAGCACCTTGTGTTGAGGGAGAGAGGCGTGGTCTGGGCAGACCAGGAAGTGGCAGGGCAGCAGCTGAAAGGTGTGGGGGCTGGAGGGGAGTCTCAGGAGGAGGCGGGCTGCAGCGACCTGGCACCTGTCCTGTCTTTCTCACATCTGCTCTACCACCAGAGTTCTCCCTGCAGTAAGTCATCATTATTACTTATTTATTATTCTGCTGTTTATTAAACATGTTTGGATGGATTGTTGCGATAAAGTAACAAAACTAGTGAAGGTAGGAAAATGAGGTAGTGCAAATTATTTGTTTAATATTATCAATTATCATTTTTTAAGAGTTCTTCAGTCAAATATAATTGTAATTATTAAAAATGCTTTTTTTATTTTTAAGAAAAGCAGCAAATCCTCCGATTCTGGAAGCTATTTCATTTAATTGTTTGTCTTTTTTTCTAGATTTGATTGGTTAATCCAGTAATTGTTTCAGCGTTGAAAAGTACTGCCATGTAGCCTGACTGGGAAGCTGTCAATTTGCTTGATCACTACAGGAAGACCTGACCACATAGCCACAACATGCATGACTAATAAAAACATCAGATGTTTCAGTAATGGGTTATTGCTTATAATCAAGACATCTACTTAGAAAATGTCCATTAAATGTTATTCTATAAATAGCCACTGAGAGAATGCACCACAGCTCCCAAATGAGTTCATTGAAACTGGTCAGATATAAAAAAAGACTTGCATGTGCATTCATCATCTTCTGCTGGTGGGAAGAAAAAAAGAGAAGGTGTCATTTTTATGGGGAAGCAGGTCTCCCCTATAATTACATATAAATGATTTGTCCCCCTCAATTAACTCTACCAAGTGCATGCGACAGCCCCCACCCTAGAATGAGGGAGAGAGAGAGGGAGGCCTCTCATTGACCGAATCTGTGTCAAGTCAGACATTCATCTCTCTGATGTGCAGAATCTTAGCTGCTTGCTAATGTTTTAATGCCCCACCAATTTATCTGTTTCTTTACTTAAATATGTTTTTACAAAAGTTCAGTTCAGGCAAGGAGCATTTTAGGCAAACACTAATCCGACAATCAAACGGCAAGATTCAAGCTATTTTGAATTTACGTTACTCAATCTGTATTTAAAAAAAATACGATATACTCTAGGTGCACACATTGTCATGGTCATGTTTTTTAATACAAATGACCACCTCTGTTGTATAAATCATATTTACAGCTGACATTCACACCCTTTCACACTATATTGTTTGCCTAGGATATTATGTGCCAAGAGTAGGGCTGCACGATTTGGGGAAATAATCAAATTGCGATTTTTCGGACAGATATTGCGATTGCGATAACATTTGCGATATATATATAATCTGAAAGGACATCCCCAGGAGAGTGTTTCCATTGATAAAACACATACACAGAGACAGTGACACACACACACACACACACACAGGTCTTTCTCTCTGACCCAGTTCACGGTTCATTAAATAAAATATAATACACAGATTCTTCACTGATTGTACCTAAATTGTCCAACGTTGCTTCTGGAATGAATGTTGCTAGAAACGTCTTCACACATGGGCGTTTCACGTGCAGTGTTGTTGTTGGGCGTATGCGTAGTTACCTTGGGCCACTTCTGATTGGTTAACAATGGCTATTACATGTGGAGCACAGCACTTCTGATTGGTGTGGATGACTGACACACAAGAAGAAAAAAGAAATTGCATCATTTCAAATCGCGATTTCGATTTAAAATCGATTAATTGTGCAGCCCTAGCCAAGAGTAGTATAGCTACATGGACCGTGTCACACACATGTATTTTTTCATTTATTTATTTGTTCATAATTCATACAACACCTGTACCCTCAGAGCAGTTCCGACCATGATGGAAAGGAGCAGAGAGTAGAAACACTTATTTGACCTGCCTCTTACACAACATTAGCTGCTCTGTCATCACAGCTGCCAATGAATACCTGAATAGTATCCTTTTTAATATCTTGAACACCACCCAGTAAATGTTTTGCACAAAGTTAATAAAATGACACCCCTCCAAGGGACATCTTAAATGTAAAAATGTTAGATTACACAAGTGTAAGAAGTTGTTAAATATATTATTCAGGAGTCCTGTAGGGTAGTTGAATGAGGTCCAGTGTATTTGGCATTAATCCAGGTGCAGTGTGTATTGTAGGGCTCATAAGATTGCACTGTTCATGTTCACTTTAACTGTCATCTTAGCATGACCTAGCAGCCCCTGAGCCCCTTGTGACGTATAAGATACGACACACACTGGAGCATGAACCAAAGCTGCTTAACAATCCTCAATTACTGTGATGATGTCTCTCATTTGTGTGGCCGTAAACTCTGCACCTGTCCCTCTCTTCCACGGCTGGCTTATATCAAATTGTTTTTTGTTTGGGTCCATTTAAATTCATTGCCTGTAATATAAATAATTTCACAACTGAATACAGATGGTGGTATCGGCCTCCTGTGAATCATAGATTAAAGTTTAAAAGATAATAAAATGTTTGTTTAAGATTTAAAACCTTTCAGGATTATTTGATTTTTGGGCAATTCATTATGTCCCTTCTGACATCTCGGCCACATTGCCCTGCACCATGTGTGGGTTTTTGTGTCAGATTAATATTTTCTTGAACATCAACACAACAGCCAGATTGACTCTTCTTAAAGAAAAGATTCATTTAAAATGAGTAAAATGATGTTGCACAATGAGAGATCCTTGAAACATAGACCGTCCTCAATGTTAGAAAGTGTTAAACCTTTGTATTCATCTCATTTTTATACCAGCAAACGTTTTATTTCAATTTCAGTAAATTAAAATTTAAAACAACCCATTTGGTAAAACTTAACCAGCACCTTTATGTAAGATTTCTAACAAAAACATCCACTTAAGGGTCTCAGAGGTTTGTCAGGCTCTCCGTGTTGTTGTTATTTTGATAAAGGTGTGTACATTTAGCTTCTGCTTGAATCTCTTCATTATTTTTTTAAATTCTCAGGTGCAGAGAGGCGCAGGAAAAGAACCACGCTGTGCAATGCTGCTTCACCCAAAGGTAGATCTACTCTCCTCTCTTCCCTGTCATGCTAACATACTGTAGTCATTAATCCTAAAGCCCTGCCTGCTTGTTAATCCCCCCCCTCCCCCTCAATCATTCACTTCTCTCCTTGTCACCTTTCACTCAATCCATCAAACTTGCCCAAACACACATTTAAGAGATGATGCTACGTTGTATCGAAGCAGAACACACACATCATAAAATTGTGTTTTCAATGTGCCATATAAACGTACAATTGTTTTTGCGTGAGCCAAAATGTCCACTTTGCCGCGTTGCTTCTTATTTGGTGAACGTGTTTTGAGCAGGCCTTCTTCAGAGTAGTAAAATGAACAATAAAAGTCATAGACGTAATATAATTTGATTTATAGGTGTGCTGCAGACATTCAGCCCTGGCCAAAACATGAATAATGAAATGATGTGAATACTCAAAAGCAGTTTTATAGAGGGAAAACTGTACACGTGGAACCTGTAGGGAAATGTAACACAAAAAGCTCTGTGAAATATTGCAGTTCAAATTGGCTGTAATGATATTTACTGCAGGTGGTCTACATTTCATTGAAACATATTGTGGGAAATTTAACTTTTGAAGAAAATAGTCCTGCCAGATGACCAGAGTTTCTTGAATTGCAATGAAACATGAAAGCACGAGGGAGTTTGTCACCACTGATATGAAGTTTCCCTGCTACGTATTATAGAAAGTCCTTCTTTCTGTCTGGCCCTTCCTTCTTCATGCCAAGGCAGTTGTTTCCATTTGGTCATTTATTGTTATTGCTCATAATTTAACTTTTCTTTGGCAATACATCTATAGTTGTCTCTCTACAAATGTCAACACCACCACTCACAATTGTATTACTATGGTGATATTTTATATTTTTGCAAACAAACTTGAATGGCCAAACATTAACTGTATTTATCATGTGTTACACCCACTATAAAACTTTGGGTGGATATGGTATTTGAAATATACAAACGTTAGACATTCCTCTAATAGAATAGTACTTAATGAATTCCTGTTATTGACAACATAATACGTCATGGGAATAATGAAATATAAATCATAGTAATCTGCAATCTTTCTTTGAGTTAGGAATGTTATACATTTTTAAAAAGGGCACAGCTTTATAGTATTATTCCTAAATGTACCAGACACAAAAAGGATTGTTTATATAATGTCCATAATATCAACATGCCTACATACAGCAACAGAGATGCAACACACAAAATACATGCAAGGCTTTTAGAGGCTTAACATTTGCTTAATAGTGAATAACCAAATACTTCTTTCAGTGTAATTTGTTCAGTCAATAATTCAGTTTATTTGCATAATACTTTTGTAATTATACATGTTGTGCAGCACTATCTTAATGATCAGTATATGACTGAACATTTTTCGATTAAATGCAGTTGACATAACACAGATTTTCTAATAACTATGGTTCTATTTAGCATCTAGACGAAGTGCTCTGATCTGATCCTGATGCTGTTTGGCAGCCCCTCACTGCTTCCTCAGCTCTTAATGGTAGTCACTGCAGCATGTTATGAGGAATGGCTCCACCCTGCAGCTGGCAAAGCCAATCACATTTCATCCTTTTTAAAAAGGGTTGGGGTTTTGAAAGCGCATTAACTCTTTGTGGGCTGCTTAATAATAGCATATCACATAAAAGTGCTCCCTTTGAAGAAACACAATTTAGTGTTGATTTCTAAACGTGTGCGCACGTGCGTTTATTAATAGCTTCAGGATGTTTCATTCAGTTACCTCCCACTGCCCCCTTTATGCTGTTCTTTTTATATTCCCATTCGATCCTGTACCTCTCTCTTCTCTCTTATCTATTTTTTCCTCCTCAGATTTTTTCTGTCCTTTTGCTTCAAACGTCTGTTAGTCTGGCTTTTTCCTCCATTCTTCCTTTATTTGCCTCCTACCCTCAAATGTTTTTCTCTGTCTGTCTCGCATCTAACCCTCCCAATCCCTCCTGAGCTTCATTCATGAAAATGCAGATCCACAGCAGGGCAGGAAAAAACGTCAACAGACGTAAACTCCCCTGCTCCACCAACCAGAAAAGGCGCACTATAAAAAACAGGCAGCAGCAACCAGGCGACCCTAATTCAGTGCAGCCTCCACCAGAAATAGCAACTCATGCATGTATTAATCCCCTACAAGCCAAAAATATGTGATTGAAGGAAAACGGCTTCCATGTATTGCTATAGGGACAACTCTGCCACAGAAAAGAGCGATTTATCATCGTGCTGTCTGAGGTCTGACTCACATTTGCTAAATATTGCATTTTTATATTTAAGGTTATGTCTAAATCAGTCATTCACCTTTGCATTTAGTGCTCTCACTTCCTTTATGTTCTGGAATGTTTCTTTTTTTAAACCCCCTCCCTAACCCTCTCCACTCTCCTGCAGGAAATGCCACGAGTGTAATGCTGTTCGTAATGGGATGCAGACACCATGATTTTAACACAATCTGCCCCAAGATGTGGTTGTCATTTTATAAAAAAACAAAAAAAGACAATATGGCATCAAAATTACGACATTCAATTACTTGTATAAATCATTATTTGAATAAATATTGATATATATAATTTGGTGATCCTGTTTTAGTTTTTGAAGGAACCAGAGGCTTCATCATCATTTGTTAAACATAATATATTTTAATTTCAACATTGATCTAAATGCAGGCATGCTCAATGTTACAACTGTCTTGAAAATGAAACAAACATCAATGCTGTTGGGAATATGCCCACTTGCTATAATTACCACTAATTAATGCAAGTTTGACTATTCCCGATGGAATAAGGCCATGGAGTCCATCACTATTCACTATCTGCTAGCATTAGCTATCTGTCAGTGCTCGACTGCTGTGTAGCTACAGTCTGCGTGGCTGTGTCCACAGTCGGTGCACGCTACACTGTTTAATAATAGCTTTATAACAGACTTTGTTGTTCTTTTTGAAGAGCAGGAACAAGCCATCCTATAGCCTTTTTAAATATAAAAAACAGTACCACTTAGCAAAATAGTCATGCTCGGAAAAAATTAGAAGCCAGCTATTGCGTCATTTATTGTTTGCTACATGTTATGGATAAATTCAGTACAGGAAGGTTCTGACCAACGGATGATTTAATATTTCCAGGGGTCTTTGGCTCTAACTCCTGTAAAGCTTACAATTTAATAAAAATCTGGGCAAAAAATAAATTGAAATCGTAAAAATTCATACATCTTTTTTGCAGTCAAATGCCTTGGAAATATCAAAAATACAAGTTCCTGGCTGTTTACGGGTCACCGGCCTCATAGAAAGCAGTGGTATAGAAAAGTATTTGAGGATTTCCCTGTGTTCATTAAATGGTGCAGTTTGCTAGTATATATTAAAATGCACATTTTTGCCATGTGTTTTACCCTGGTAATTGCTGGAATAGTACGTTTTTAATTTAATGAGAGCAATAAACAACAGCAGACTAATTACGTACGATATATAAAAAAAATAATGTTGCCCATAAAAGTTCTGCAGCACCTTCACTTTATCCTTTTTAGTTCAGAGGGTTCAGCGCATTATATTTTCCTCGTTTGAAAAAGAAAACGATCCAAGGCTGTTAGCCAGTAGTCCTTGAGCTCTGGTTTATTTATACAATGCAGCACTTTTAAAAATAATAATGCCGGTCACAGCTTCATTCAGTTTAAATGTGCAAGTAAGGCACTATAATGTTTAATTTTCTTGTGCCATGTATAACCTCACCAACACTACTGCACACTTCCGGATGTAACTTAAGGGAATGATCCATCTCATTTCTCTGTTGTGACATTTTGTAAATTGCACTATTTAGCCCAAGGCTGGCACTTCAGCACTTATTACTGATTGAATACAGGGACCGCGTCATTGGGGATGGGTTTGTTAACTGTTACTCTGCTGTGGTTTGATTAGCCTTTTTTACTCTTAAAGCCCTTAGTTGTAAACAATGCATTGAAATATGCTTATATCGGTTATATATTTTTACGAAACAATGTTTTCTTTGGTTTCTTGTTGAAGCCTATGGACATTTTATTTCTCTAAAAAAATATAATATTCATAACTTAAGAAGCAACAGTCAACTTTTGAGTTTGTAAAAAAAATCCGTAAGAACTCTAGCCGTCAAAAACTCAATTCTCAATCAGGGTTGATGGACAATGTCACATTGCCCCCCACTTCGAATCAGGGATAAAAGCACAGAGAAAAAACAAATACAGATCATTAATGTGAAATAGGTTTACCAAAAATGTTCGAACATCTTTTATGTTATTGCTGCTTTGTCTATTTTTACTAAATGCTGATTGTTTGTTTATTTAGTTGGAGGAAAACAGCCAGATATGAAAGCAGAACAACGTCCAACGATGCCCATCAGGAGGAATCTGTCTGCGTCGCTGCAACCAGAAAGCCCTCAGACGGTCGCCACAGCCCAGGTGTTTGAGGAGGGCATGTTCCCACTCCAGTGCACACCTGAACCTTCTCAAAAAACATTTAAAGACTTGCCACAGAGCTCATCAAGTGCCATGGATCCTAACATGACATTTGAAGTTATGGACGATGATGATCAAACTGCAAGTAATGCAACCATCATATTAGGAAGTGGGAGTCCCTGTCAAGCGTTGGCGTCAACGGAGCTCTCGGGTCCCAGCCAACCACTCCGACTTCCGAAAGCCAACGAGGGGAACCAGGTTCCTAACAAAAGGTGAGAGAATGTTCATGCCTAAGCTTTCCTTTTGATTTTAAAATGTTTAAAAGGGTATGTGATCCTTCAGACACACATTCCTCCCTCCTGAAAGTTGGATAACATTACTAGTCAGTTTTGAGAATGGCTTGTAATGTTGATTACAGTTCTCTTGACACTAAGCATGCAGTATATTGTCCATATGGTGCACTCTTTTAACGCGTTGAAGTAGTCGTAAACAATGCATCGATACAGCTGCATACTGCTACTGCACTCCTGTGGTTCCTCCAAAAGGTTCTGCTACAATAGTATAGGACATTGTGTAAGTAAGGCTTCGGTAAACAATACTACTCTTTATGGGAACAGACACTTTGGTAAAACACACAAAACACTGCTAACCCAGCACTGCTATCTGAAGTCCCACTCGTGTCATGTATTTCTCTGTTTGTCATGTACTTGCATCTTATACTTTTCTCTGGGTTGCACTCATCATCACCCAGGTGTCTCATGGTGTCTCATGGTGTCTCATGCATCAAAGACTGACTTGATCTAATATTGTTAATGTCTTGACAAGCCAGCAAATATGTTTTCACCTGCTGTGTGCTTCCACATACACAGCATTATTTGCTGTTTTAATGCTTTTAATAAGATTAGCAAACACCAATAATGATTTTCATTAACTCTCTCTCTATCGAGTACAAACAAAATAAGGGAAATGCCCACTTCCAATGCCTCTGTGCTAACAACAGGCGATCTGGAGGCACAGGATTTTCCGGTTGCCTCTACGTCCGACCAATTTGTGTGAATGCGATATCTCAAGAATGCCTGGGGGTGATTTCCATACATTTGGCACCAATGACCACTATGACTAAAGAATTCATGCAATAATCATTTACATTTTGCACAGTCTAATCGGATAAAATGACTGGAAAAGGCATAAAAACTAAGAATAATAATGTAATGTTTGTTAAATATATATACTTACTATACTTGTACAGTGCTTGTATCATCTTCCCAAGGCAAGGCAAGGCAAGTTTATTTATATAGCACCCAGAAAGCATAATTAATGGGGTTTTTTAAACAAGCATCTGTGTAGTTAAAATTAAATTGCATTTTATCTTAATTTGTTCAGATGCAAACATGTATCTGTTAAATCAGTTCCATAAAATGTTTAGGATCAAACTATAAACATGTCCCTTCGGCCGCCAATGAAAGTTTCCCAGAATGTAAGGATTCTATGTAAAAGACGCTCATTCTGGATGGCTACCAAACCCAGCAGAAGTGGTAAATCCCTAAAACCTTATTCAAAACAAGACGGAGACTATAGTGCAAACAGACGAAGTATTCTCACCAGCAGCAAGTTTCCAGACTGGAACCATAGGCCTAGAGGCTTAAGTCAGCTAAGAAGAGGCAAACAGAATAGGAAACATTTGGAGCAGAAGACGGGGTTTGTGTCAGTGAAAGATGTTCCAAGCAGATGAGCCTTTGCATTTACACATTGACCATGTATCAGTGTATTGGTTTCCAACTATCTTTAAAGGTTCCCTATTATACTCTTTTTCATCAATATATTATAGGTCTCAGATACAAAACATGTCTCTGAAGTGTTTGGCTCAAAATACCAAACAGATCATTGTAGCATCCCATAATCCCCTCTGTTTCAGCCCTGTTTCAAAAGTGCTGATTCTCTGTCTTTTACTTTAGAGGAAAATAAGGAGCCACTCCCCACGCCCCTCTGAGAGATATTTGGTTAAAAATAAGTTATAACACAATGGTGCTCTAGGAGGAGATTCAGGTGGAGGGGGTTACCTTGGTTGCTGATTGGCTAACGGTTATACAAGCCAAAAAATCGTTATGACATCATAAAGTGGCCAAAATCTGATCAGATCATTTTCAGATCAGGACAGAAAGTGAGCGAATCTTTTTTCCTGAAACGTTGAGAATCTCTTTACACAGAGGGGGCACATGTTTATGTATAAAAGACATGAACAAGTGGATTATGCATAATAGGTGACTTCAAAATGCATTGGCTAAATCAAAGGAAATGTAACTGCTTGGGGAACAATTGTACTGCCCCACGATCAAGCTGTGTCACAAGGAGTTGTTTTTCTTTAACTTAAAGCACAAGGCTTATACCCACTTTCTGAGAGCAATGTTGCCAAATCTTTTCCTATGGAAGAAGCTAGCATTAGCTCCAAAAGTAGCTAAAAGCGCAGGACAGATGACGTCACATGCACAATTGCATATTGGTGACGTCACAATGCAATATTTTTCCTAAAGCTTGGTGGTCGCTGTGGGGGTTACAGCAAAAAAAGACATTGGGAATCATTTGATTATACTCTATTATGTGCTTTTTCCCTGATGGTCTGAGTCAATCGCTGAATGTGTTGCTAGTTGCCTTTAGGAGTTTAGGTTGATAAAGAAAGTCTTCAAATGGAAAGAAAACACTGCCCGGTAACGGGTTGTCCTGCAGCAGACAGGTCAAATCTCAACGAAAAACAATTGCATCGCAAAAACCTTTTGTAAATATTTCAAAAGTAGATGCCATTGTAGATGGTGCCAACATTATAAACTACGAAAACGATGTTAAAAAGAAAAGACTTCAAGAAACAGCATTAGTTTTAGACTGGCAACTGTATAAAAGCGATTTTATGGAACTGCAAAGTGAATGTGTGGCAGTTCTCTGTGCGGGGGTTATGCAAAGTGTAGCAGACACGTTTTAAATTACTTAGACAGTTTAACTGTTGTGTTTCGAAGAAATACAATAAAAAATAAAAATAAATGTTTAAAAACCTCAAAACACACGTAGAGACCTGACTCAGCAGTAAATGTGAATGTTAAGGGCTAATGATTAAGAATGGCATTAAGGTACATACGTAAAAGGAGATATAGTTTTCACCAGGTTGGTTTTTCCAGACATCCGGTTGCTCAGTGTGTCACGGACTGTCTACACATTTATAGCGCAGTGGGGTTTTGTCCTGCATCGGAAGTATTTGCTCTCTTGGGATTAGCTTTAGCCCCAAAGCGATGCCAGAGATGGAGTTTAGAGCGGCTAAATTTGTCCATAATCATTTAAACCTCGTATAAACAAGTATGGAAATGCTAGAGGATTTTAAGCATTAAACTGATTATACGAGGTAAAATGTCATATAACTTATGGATAGTTTACAGAAACTAAAACGGGAACACACAATCCTTAAGCATTGATCGACTCATTTTCTACCTTGAGGTGTTATTAAAAAAAGCTGCTTCAATTTGATCTGAGAGACCACAATATTTGCATATCCAAATGTCTCAATGCAGGTGCATCGGAACAAAGCATCACATATCAAAGCTTCAGATTTGTATACACGCGGCTTACACAATACAACACAAATGAAATGAATAAGCTATTTTGATTGAATGTTTTGATAAGAAGTCAGTAGAGACTGTTTGGTAACGTGAACCTCTGCTCTGCAGTCAACAGATCCTGACTTTACAAGACATGCGACGAGCCAACCCGACCTACATGCACATGACGTCGGCTGCCAACGGAAAGCGAAAAATGAACTGGTAATGTGCCTCTGGCTTCTTCTACCTGCAGTCGATAAAACGCTTTGCTTTGACATAATGATTTTGCAGTCTGACTAAAGCTGTACAGAACTGAGACCAAAATTGAAAGCCAGTTCTGAGTATTAAAGGAAGGAAATCTAGTTATTGATATTTTGTTTGATAACTCTATTTGTATTTCTCTGCTTGTTTTATTCACTGCAGCACCCAAGAAGACATAACGCAGGATGTGACTGCACCGAAGCGCATCAAGAACGAATCTTCATTCGTCAGCAGACCCCTCCGAGTGCATCGTTTTGAGGGTAAATGTCAACACCGAAAAAACAGAGTTTAAGGAGACATCCATACACTAAACATAAACTAGTCATAATTATTCACAATATTGACTGTCATGACTAAGAGTGCAAACATACACCCTATAATTGACAGAATAAGATGTTTTTTAGATGAAATTTATATTTCGAACAAACCAAAATGTTTTATATATGTTTATTTGTCACTGTTGTGAGTTGCTGTTAGCAGCCAGAATGATATTGCCTGACAAAATAAAGGGTTTCTATACACTATAGAAAAATATGGAATTTGACTTTTGAAAGATTTCCAGGTCTGGATGTATGGGAAAATATTACTGTTACCAGACTATTGCCCTTGACAATTCGGTTTTCCAAAATTAAGGATTTCTTTCAAACTAAATATGAATGGATCATTCAGACAGTGTTTTTGAAAGCTGTTTAATGTCATACACACCAAGTCAAGACGTATGAATTGCAACTAACTTATACAAGAGCTGGGTGTGTACATAACATCCTGTAAAACAGCTCTGTGCAAGATGGTTTACAGTGCATCATCGTCAACATTATTGCAGGCTGGCTTGGCAATCCCCAATATAATGCCTGTTTGGCCAAAGATTCCAAATGGGAAAAAGAGATGCAATTTGTTGGCGTCTAGTCGTTTGACATCTCTTACCTGCCCATGGTGGCTATTGTAAGCCAAATGCAAGTGCAACAGACTGTAGTGTTGCTCCAGCTTACTCTGCTCCCAGAGTCACAGCATTTTGACCCAACCCAACGAGAGACCAAGGCCATCAGCAAGTATTGATCCATTTATTTCAGCTAGAGTACCTAGCTACAATCTTCTGGCATTCAGAATGTAACATTCATGCTAATTTTAAAACCTTTTATTTACATAATAAACCTCTAGCTGTTTGTACTCTGTACACTGTCATTTTGAGGTGGTAAATGTGTAGGAACCCTGTAAAATGGTGCCCTCTGTATGGCAGTAACAGCGTCATGATTGTTGTTTCTTCACATCCTTTAGTGTGTTCACTCTTGATACTATTCTTGTTTGTTGTCCTCAGTTTCACAGGAGAACAGGCCACGAAGAGTTGTGAAGAGCGTTTCTGAAGGAAACCTGATGGAACCTCGGAAGTCTAAGTCCATTTTCTATAAAACGTCTCAACAGTTCAAACGGGCGACCAAACGACTCTAAAGAAACATTGTGTTTGAATCCCACCATTTAGCCTTCTTGAAAATGTCCATTCTCCATCTTTTTACAACATTTTCATCTCCTCAAAAGTATTTTCTTCAAAACCTAAAACTAGAGGTTTCTTTAACAAAATGTAATATAAATTGCACTAATATGCTAATATGTTGGATTTAGCCTCACACGGCAGTGGCATTTTACTTGACTGCACATACATTGTATAGTTCTTGATAATCTAATTTGATTATGTTTAGATGCATTAGTTTCTTTGAACTGTTCTCAAAAAAAAGGATTGATCTGGTACTGTAGGTAGCAAATGTCCCTGGGCAGCTAATATCAAAGGAAGATTACTTGACCTTAGATAAAGGAATGGCTGCAGAAAGAATTGAAACTGCTCTACACTGAAAAGTTTGAATTTGTTTTCTCTTTTTTCTCTGATGTACAGTTAATAACATGGATTTATGGATATGTCGTAATAAAAATGCTTGTAAAAGAATCTGTGGATGTTTTTGAATGAGTAAGTCCCTTTCTAAAATGTAATCTCTGCCTTTGTCTGCTATTGAAATAGGGTCTGAATAAATGAAGAGGGTGATAGAGTGGTAAATGAACTTTTGGTTACAAGATGTTCCAACGATGAATAAGTGACGTAGGCCGGGCTTAGGGAAGGTGAAAATATGATAGCAAGAGAAATTGAACTGACCTAGGAGTGACCCACAGCATAACTCACAAACGTAACTTTCTCGTTGTCTTCCTATTGAAAAAAAGCAACCTTTCATAAACCTTTATCAAAAAAGGTAAACCCAGAGTGCAGTGAGTGATGGGATGCTGTTTGTCTCTAGCAATGCCTCGTGGGGTTTCAGGATGATAAGTGTTGTTTCACCTCAACAGAGCACAGACTCAATACTCAGTCTTGAAAGAGGTGTCACCACTAACTCAGACACTGATGTCCAAAAATTCAGTCAAGTTTTACCTTTATTTATATATATCTTTATTTATATACTAGTGATTATTAAAAATTAAAATCTGATAGGCAAGCAGATAAGCAAAAATAGCTAAAAGACAACGGCTAAAATATTGGTAAACTAAAGGTAACGTGGGGAAAAACAGAGCAAAAATATAGCTTTATGATGGTTGGCCGAGAGTTACAGATAAAATGAGCTAATAGAAATAGCTAATCAGTTTGTTTGCCAAAAGTAATGGATAGGCTACCGGTTCCATACAAATATATATATACATATTGTATGTAAAAAAAAAAATAATTGAATCAGTGGTTGAAATTGTTAGCTAAGCATAACAACAGAGTAAAAGTAATGGTGGTGTATGTGGATGAAGTCTTTACCTCATCTGACAGTGCTGTAGGAAATGGGTTGGGTTGGCTCAATCCCCCTTAAGATATTTTTAGGCTTTCCTATGTTGCATTTTTAGCCTGATCAAATGTGAAGGATCGTCGGGAACAAGCTTTTATTAGAATTCTATACTAAAAATGAATGTCAAAAATACCTCCTGCATCTATGATGAGGGTGGGACCTCATTGCTCTGTCTGGAGAGAACTAGACTTGTCACTTTGAATTCAGTCTTGCAACTTTCAGTAGCACAGCATTCAGTGTGATCTTTATTTTTAGCTCAGGAGCTCAATGCATATATCAGCACTGTACTGCGCAAGCACTGACACCCTCTCATGCTCTCATTCACAAGAATCTCTTCATTGTGTGTGTGTGTGTGAGAGAGAGAGAGAGAGTGAGAGAGTGTGTGTGCGCACACAGGGAGGCAGGTCTTGGCTAAAGTTTATTAACTTTCTCTTAGCCAATGGGGCTCCTTGTGCGTTTTTCCTGCTGACCAATAGGACAGATTGAGAGGTTGGAGGTGGGTGTTGCTTAGCAACTGCAGGTAGAATCTCAGATCATGTCGGACCCATTGTTTTATCTCGCCTCCCTGAGAGACATTACATGCTATGTGTTGTGATTTGTTAGTAAAAAAAACACCTCTGTGCAAATGCGTCACAAAGTTGTTAACTCTATTTTTGTGTTGTTAAACAAAGATCACAGTGACTTTAATGATGTTTCGCCCTCAAGTCAGAGCACTTTTAATTGATTTGCATTATGTTACTAAATGTAGCTGTGTTATTTTCATCGCCGAGTCACTGGAGAACATACAAGGCAATGTGGACTTTATTGTTTTATTTTCTGCTCCTAATTACAGCGGTAATAACCGTTATTGAACCTCATGCCGAGTCAAAGATGGGAGATGATACACACAACACACGAGGCTGCTCAAAAGGATTCTACATGTAGATGAAACCTCAGCATTTGCCTTTTGAAGCAAAGTATAACATACCTCACATCCAGATACCATCACACTAACAGGCACACACTCAAAGCACTGTTGCAAATTATACGTCTCTTTATTATAATCCTGATTTAAGAATCTTTCAGCGTTTTGCTAAATTCAGTGTTTGAAAAGAGCCTTTATCTTTGTGTTTTTGTGTGCATGGCTAAATATGAGCATATGATCCTTCTTTCATTGTTTCTGCCTCCCACAAAGCAGCATGTCACAGCTGTGAACTTTTTGGCCCCTGTATACTCACATGTATATATTGTCCGGCAGTGGCTCAGTCAGTAGGGGCTTGGACTGGGAGCCGTAGGGTCGCTGGTTCAAGTCCCCGACCAGACCTAAATATGGAGTGTGGACTTCTACTTGGAGAGGTCCCAGTTCACCTCCTGCCCTGCCGTGGTGCCCTTGAGCAAGGCACCGGACACCCCCCTTCCCCATTGCTCCCCGGGCGCTGTACAATAGCTGCCCACTGCTCCTAGTACTAGACTCCTGGTACTAGGATGGGTTAAAAGCAGAGGCCAAATTTCACTGTGTGTGCTGTGTGCTCTGCATGTGTGACCATTACAGAGGGTTTCATCCCTCCCTATTCTATTCTATTCTATGACCATCTTAAAGCCGAACACCCCTACAGTCTGTCCTCTCCCCACTTACAGTGTCACTTGTTGGCTTTTGTTCTGCCCATAAACAACAATGTTACTCATATTGTCAACTTATAGTATTGTGTCTCGTGTAAATGTGAACACACAAAAAAATGTAGGTTAATATAGAATTAAAATGAAAAAATACATTATTCCATGCTCCTCCTCTCAAGTTTTTTCGAGGTAATTAAACCGTTTTTGGATACTTTAGGTAAATTATACAACATTTATTTTTAAATCTGAAAAGTTTTTTAATATTCAGTCAAAATACTGCATCGTAAACTGGGCCCTTTGGAGTTGCTTTTGATCATCCTCCCTTCCCGTGATGCTTGATGCAAATATTTAAATGGGGTTTATGGAAATTCCTGGCATGCACCCTTGATTTGGCATGTAAAGCAGCGCCAAAGAGATTGTTGTTTACACCATGCACATTTGTGCTCAGTATGTCCGTCAGTCGGAAGCAAACTATTTGACATATAAGTATAAAATAGAAGTGTCTTTATCTTCAATTCGAGCACACTTTGGGGAGATATTTCAACTCGAAAGACAGTCAGCCATAGTGATTCTGCATAAGGTAAGCCTCGATAACTTAAAACTTTACAGCGATTGAAACTTGTGCCTGCACGATAATACATTTGTAAGACATCGGAAAATAAACCGTACATTTTCTTTAATAATCATTATATTAAAATCTAATTATTATTTTGAGTTGCTTTTCTTCTGACCAAACTAAACATTTCTAGGAGTCATGTTGGTTTTATTGTGAAACAAGATATAATATAAAAAGCACTTGTAGCCATAGATGATTTGTCTTTTTTTTTCTTTACAGGCCATTTCGAAAATGAGTGCCTGTTTTTGTCATGTTTGAAAAAATATATAAGTTCGTAAACTTTGAAAAATCTAAGGTAACAACAACCATTAATCTTACAACAAGATTATATACTGTCTGTATCACATTCAGAAAAAGGAAGATTGTTTTTTATTCTCATTCACATATTACCAAACAAATTATGCTGCGACAGAATTATATCTGAATACCTGTGCATTCAGTTGCTTGACATCCCTGCAGTCTGTTTTCAGGAATGTCTTCTGTTATAATCTCCATCTGCATTTCACTCAGCAAACACATTCTGTGAGAAACATTGTGGCAGAAAATACCTGGCCGCCTTTATCAATACACAGCTGAGAGTAGACAGGACCTTGTGCGGTGGTTAAAGTGGGGGGGGATGGGTGAGATTTACAGTTTCCTTTACCAGGTAATGTCTCCTGTTGTGAAACAATGTGACAGAAAATCAGTACAGCTGTGATGGCTCAGCAGTGTTCTTTGCCCCTCTACATTCTCCTCCAGGAGCTTATCCAAAGCCCACCTCAAATGTACTGTATGTAGCCTGCGGATGACTCATCCTCCGGAGAATGAGCTGTATGGTGCAGGTAGCCTTGCAAATAAACATTTCACCATTTGCAGAGTCTACTGAAGTACTTTGCTGACTTATAGTCTGAACTCACCGACTGCAAATACAAAGTCTGACAAACCAATTCTGTTTTTATTCAGTCAGTAAATTCGGTCGGTGTTAAAGATCCTCCTGTGTTAACATGTCCCTTATGTGTTACACATGGAATCCCTGTGTTGCTCAAACTCACAGCAATGAGGCATCACTTAGTGCTCCAGAATTTGTAGTCATTTTGTTTATTGAAACTGAATATTTGTCATCATTGCAGCAATTGCCATGGAGACAGGGTTAAGTCCCAAACCTACTGGTATTTTACAGTGCATGAGTGTATGCTCATTACCCTTTACCACAACTTCCAGGAAACACTGCACACTGAGTGGATCGGTGACTCCCGCTCTTTAGCAGGGTTCGGGAATATGCAGACATTTAAAAGATATTTGTTTCTCGGCAGCCTTTCACACCTTTTCCCTCAAACGGCCCGTATATCCTCTCTTGTTCCTCGTTCATTTTGCAGCATCCTGTTGTTATGTTGTCTTTGCTTGTGCTGTTTTATCGAGAAGTCACTAATGGCAATAATGGGTGCAATATCCATCCAATGACGATGTAGCTGAAGTGATATGTCTAAATTAATTAGATTTTAAATTAGAATGTATTAATCCCTGGACCTGGAAATGTACCCCAGGGCTGCAAATAGTAGAAATAGTACCTCTGATACCCAGAATGAACACATTAGGGGTAATTAGGTGAGTGAAGGAGTGTTTTCTAAAAAATTTCAGCTTGTGAATTATTCAAACAAAGCTATGGCCGCCTCTGTTATGTATGTTTAGTAGTATATTATTATTGCATTCCTTCCCTGTTAGCAAATCTTTTGACCCCCTCTGGTTTATCTTGTGACCCCTTTGACCCCCAGGTTGTTTAAACTGAAGGCCTACTTTCTGTGAGGCAACAATGCTGCCCACTAAGTCAAAATGTAAATCTCTCACTCAGGGCGGTGTGGGCGACTGCCTGCCTGTGCGCTGGGGTGTGGCAAAGTTAATGTGTCGGTGGTGAGGACGTCCACCTGCAGGCTGGCTAGA